ACACCCACACCCACACCCACACCCACACCCACACCCACACCCACACCCACACCCACACCCACACCCACACCCACACCCACACCCACACCCACACCCACACCCTTTAAAAGTTGAAAAAGTTGACTGAAGTAGTTTTAAAAGTGCAAAATAGTACAGAATATTAATTTATTTTACGTTATTATTTAAAAAAGTACTTTTTAGTATTTCTTTTTCACTTTTTTTCACATGGGTGCTCAATTTGAAGAAATTAAACTTATTGATTTCTTAAAATGTAATGGATTGCAACGGAAGTTTTCATTTAAAAGAAAACTAAATATTCACGAACAACCGAATTTATAAGTTTTGAGATTGAAAGTGGAATTATTTTCAATAAAAGAATCTTTTGGAAGATATTTCAATGTTGGAAATCTCTTTTGGACAATAGATCATAGTTTATTTCTAAATCTGCATTCAATTTTGAATATAAACAGGATTTAATCCAACATTGCTTTTATTCTTGAACGTAATTCAACACTTTTAATACTCTCAGACTAACCATCTCTATCAGTATAAGATATGAGTGAGAAAAAGAACAAAACTCAATAAAAAATTCTTTTGTATTTAGTAATATTCATTTATATCTAACAAGAGTTGATATTTTTTTATTTTTCTTGTAAATCGACTTGCTGCATCACTTATCCGAAAAATTTGCTAAAGAATTATCACTAAACTTCAATCATTAAGATATTGACAACATCTATTCAACCAGCATTATCTTATATATAAGACTATTTCTGCATTAGTATTAATGATAAACTAAATATCTCCAAAAGATAAAGAACAAACAAAATTTATTTATTGAATTCGTTTTCTTCATTAAAGTAGAATAATTTTGATATACAATTGAAGATATATTATTGAGGAAATTCAAGAAGGAGATATAATCTGCAAAGAATCCTACTTAGCTGTGCTATTTGAGTCTTTGCTGTTCTCATCTTTTTTTCTTATATTTGTCTTTTAATTAACTACTCAGTTGTTCAATCGATTCTTCTATGGTCTGACGAAATGAGACTTGCAATTTTCGAGTTTTTTTAAAACACAAAATGATTGCACAAACATTTCATATAAAACAAATCAGATTTTTCTCACTTTGGAGGTGTGGGTGTGGGTGTAGCGGGTGTTGAAGTGTGATGCGTTAATTAAAGAATACCTACACCCGCACTTACATCCACATCCACACCCACCCCATATTTACACTCCACATCACACACCCATACCCACACCCACACCCCGCCCACACCCACACCCGCACTTCCATCCCCATCCACATCCCCATCCACACCCACCCCATATTTGCACTCCACATCCCACATCCACATCCACACCCACCCCATATTTGCACTCCACATCCCACATCCACATCCACACCCACACCCACACCCACACCCTTAAAGTCATCTAGAGATCACCATCTTTGCAATCGACCAGATTCGATCTATTCAATTAAAAGATGCACTTTAGACATACTTTGGTATCTGATTGAATTAAAAATTGTAAATTATTTATCTGGAAATTGTTTGAATAAATGATACATACATTATTTAATAATTTGATTTTGATATTCATCAATTTGATGTTTTACAATTCATATTCATTTGTTCAAATGTTTTCGAACAAAATGTTTTAGCAAATTCATTCATAAGTATTCTTCATCAGAATTGAATGGAAAAGAAAATTTTTTTTGTAAAGCATTTCAACCGACTTGAATACGACATTCATTTATTAATCGATCGACGTCAATGTGATACACCAGGTGGAAGTAAAAGAACATCGAAATAAATTTTCTTTTAGAAATAAATTAAATTCAAATATTATATTTTACCTTGAATTCCAAGTGTAAAACTTCGATAATATTGTAAAAAAAAAAGTGTAAATAATTTGGAAAATACAGTAACCAGATCAGTAGTACAACATTTTCCATATAATTCATAATAACAATGAACAACAGATGCAAGTGTTGAACCACAATGTACTTTATCAATTAAACTTGATAAAAGATGACCATGACGAATAATAGCATCTGTATCAACCATTAAATCAATATTTGTTGCATTTAGTTTTGATGATCATGATTAAATAAATTTTTTGATTATTATTGTTTTTTATTTTTGAATTTCTCACTTTCATTGAAAATTTTGATTTACTATCGATATTAAGTTGTGCTTCTTCAGTTGATTGAATATAAAGAAGAATTGTTGAAATAATCTGAGGAAAAAAAGCAGTTTTTATTTAAAAATTTCAATTAACAAAAATACTTGTTTTCCAGTCCATAATTTTTTTAATTTCCACCAAATACAAGGTGGTAATAAACGAATTTTTCGACGAGAATATCATTCAATAGCAATATATACAAGTTGTTGATAATACGATTTAGAAAATCAATGAATAAAAAACCTTTTCAAATAAATCAAAATTATACTTTTCAAAAAAAATCGATCACGTATTGTTAATGCTGAGTTACAACTCTTAAAACAAGCTCAAATCCTCTAAACCTGTCTTAAAGTATTGTTGAAAACCATACAAATCACTTGGTATCTACTTGAAAGTTGAATAATTGAATTTAACTTTCTAGTTTGACATATATGAGGCATCTACTCTAAATACATTTGTTAAGAGAATGTCACCTATCAGAGGTGTGCACCGCTCGTGCGGGTGCGGAGTGCGGATGCGGACCGCTCCGCACCCGCTCGTGCGGACCGTCCGTTTCATCTCGAACAGTATGACTCATATAGTGCGATCGCACCGCTTCCAAAATTTGCGAGCGGTACTGGTGCGGAGCGGCCGTCTTCCCCTTATCTTACCGCNACAAGTTAAGCATTTTTATACGAAAGAACGAAGTATTCAAATGAAAGTTATATTCAAAAGTTGTTCAGCTTTTAACAAGCTATTAGAATATCAGGTCATTTCTGATTCGTCTAGGCTTAATCAAATAAAACACTTGAAATATCGCTCGTTACGGAATTTCACTTTGTTACGGAATTTCATCTTTTTTATAGTTCAAAAGGGGAAGATTTCAGAAATTGCCATTTCAACCTGTTACGATAAAACTGATCTTTTTTCTGACACATGAATAGTACACAGATAATTTTATCTTTCCAGTATGTTAGTTTTATTCTCGCAATGGAATCTCATAAGAATTTCTATCTAGTTTTCAGGCAAAAATGCAATGTGAAAAAGTGACAAATTACGCTTTTTTTGATGAAATTAGTCAATAAATCTCTTTTTCAACACCTGTCGAACCAAAAAGTGAAGTTTAAATCACTCCTCTTATAGCTTGCAACAGGTTTGGTCATCTTTTGATAGCACATTTCCGACTGTCGAGACATTATTCCTCACTTTTGTGATCTTGAACCTTCCCCACACGAGGGTGACCGATACGTGGCCATGCCGATATGCAAATGCTTTATTTAAAACATGGTCAAACAAATGAAATAGATAATTTACAATCAATTTATAAAATATGGATATTAGAAAAAAAAAATCTTTAGATACATTTTATGAACAGATCAACGAACATATGAAATTAAATCCACCATCATCAACTAAAATAGAATCAACAACAAAAAATTTATCAGCTACTCGACAACAGTTTATTAAAGATTTTGAAGCACGAGCATTTAAAACAAAAAGTTTGTATTTTTTTTATCATAAAAAAATTTTTCAATTAATATTTATTTTCGCAGAAAAATTTTGTCCGAATTGTAATACACCTGTACGTGCACTTCGTGCAGATTCACATACAAAACTTTTTTATTCTGAAGGAGTTTCAAATAAACAAATAAAAGTCTATCAAGAACGCATGTCTAATGTTCGGTAAGTATTTAACGAATTTTTTTCGAATTCTAATACTATCCTTTGCATAATCATGAAAATCGAACTATCTAGTATATTTAACAATCTATTAGTTCTAATAAAGAATAACGTGTTAAACAGATAAATGATTAAATATTGAAAGAAGTTAGGACAGCGACTTATCAGTTTTATTACTGATCTTTAGTTTAGTTATGCCTAGGAAACTTTATTTGTACAATTTTTTTTTGCTGTAATTACGTTCACTATATGATGCACTGGCTATTTTCGTTTTCACATATATGTTCTCTGGTATTTGGTAGGTTCGCGTTTTAGCACTTTCCATTATTTCCCTTCTGTCTATTCTACGTTTTTACAATTTACAATGTAGCCGTTCCCTGTTGAGTAATGTAATCGAGTAGAACTATTACTAAGTTTACCTGTTTAGGTAAAAGAATCAAGAAAATAAATTTTCGTTTCATTGTTGGCATATTAAAAAATAAACTTAACTATTATTTATTGAATACAGAACACTCTTTATGTCAAATTTGAAATATTTTCCTCAGCTCAACATACAATTCTGGACAACTGCATACTAAGCTGTTTTGCAGAGTACGAAATTAGAATTTTACATATACAAAACTGCCTTTTCTTATCAGATAATTCCATCAATTCATTGAAAGTTTTTTCTCATAGATCTTCTTCTCGACATAATCACCATTGTCATAAAACTTCTCCTTGTTACAAGATGTTTAGCAAACAATTAAATTAACGAGTTTCAGACGAAAGTGAAATAATTTTATTTGAAACTTTTAGGATACTTAAATAATCATTAACGGTGATAATGTTAGGAAAGGTTTACAGGAACCAAATCCTTTCTACTTCCTGTAGTCCTAATTACTAGTAAGATATGAGCTTGAAAATTGTTTAATCAGTGTGTAAAATCGTCTGGTTAGTTTCAAGTTTGGACACAATGAGATCGAGTAAGTTTCGTTGATTTCTAGTGATGATGCCATAGAGTCTTGAAGTCTTTACTGAAGCTTATATGCACGATAGTCTACTTGAATCTACACAATTTAATACTACGTAGATATGAATGCGACATAAAATTCTTATTTCAATTGACGAATATTATTTCTTTTGATGATAGGTAATCAAAAAAAATGAATAATAATGATGAAGCAATAGATGATGATAATGACGATGAAGAAATGTTAACAGAAATGATGTCCAGTGAAATGTATTTAACACCATTAGGTGTATTAAAACATTTCGAAAAAATTTGGACAAATGAAAAAGAAGTTCTCACAATTTATTTAGCTGCTTTACGATCACCACAGCATTCAATAACGCATGTTCGTAATAATCCAATAAGTTTATTCTTTTTTGAAGTTCTACCTGGTTCGCCATCAAAATTTCGTCCCGTATGTATTTAATCTTGTTTTTCGAAAAGAAANAAAAACGTGTGAAACCTTCCAAAAACCTGGTGAGTTTTCTAGAAACCCCACGAAAATATTCTCGCTAAAGTGTCTAAGTAGCAGATATGGATGGTGCGCTTCAAATAACATATCGGAAGTGATTTCCATCACTTTTGATACGTGCTAATAAGAGAAAATTCCTTGAAAACCATCCGGTTTTCCAGAAGCTTTCCACTGAGACATTGTCAACCGGCATGAGATTTTTCTAGTGAAAGGTATTGAACCTGCTATGCTCTTCCATTTGACACTAATATGAAGGTTCTACGACGTACCCTCTACCTAGACGAGGGTTTTCAAAAAAGCAATTTCTGCTGGAAAATCAAGGAAAACCCTCGTTTTTGCTGGGAGAGTATTTTGCAAATAACTTTTTTTTCGAAAAAGATAGAGACCTGCGGTTTTCACCATTGAAATCAGCGCTCCAAACTACATATGGCTATGTGTGTCACGTCGCTTGCGTAACTGGTCGATGTAATGATGGTAGAAGTCATATGGATTCACCCAACTATTAAATCAAAATCATATCGATAGAAGTATGAACAGTGGTTCGAAAGAATGAATAAGTGCATTAGTGTACAAGGACAGTACTTTGAACAAATATAATAAAATCATTTTAAACTAAGCTACCAGTATAGCAAATCTAAAAACTGTTGGAGTGACCCACGTATCAGATCGTTAATTTTTAGCAGTAATTCATATAATAATATAGTCGAGATTTTTGATAAACTTCATCGATATAAGGAAATTTATATACGATAGTGTTACGGGCACTGCCCTCACAGTATGTTTTCTTTCTCTTCTCTCTATTTCCCTGGATGTGATATCTTTGATCATATATCATCATCTCTTTCTTTTCGTTCAAACCCTTGATGCTTGTGATCATATATATATGCGCGTTTTCCCTTTTCTTTTCGGTTCGTTATGTAGCTTAGTTGTTATACGTGTGTGTAACGTAGGAAGATGTACGTATGTGTGAGGACATTTTTGATTTAGTACAAATAAATGAAAGAAGATTTATAACATCTTATTCCCCTAATAGATAGCTACTCTAATAAAAATTTTAAAAAATAATCAAAATAAAATTATTTTTTTTTCCTTTTGTTCGATTTATATATTATGATAGTTCTAATATATATAGAAAAATAATTAATGAATAAAAAAATTCATTTTTCTATTCTTTTTTTCTATTTATACAAGATGATCCTAATTCGAATTAAATTTTTAATAAAAAGAAAATTAATCTATTCCTTTTTTTTCTTTTTACTGCTATGAAATAACTCTTATTCAATTATAATTATGATCAGAATAAAAGTTATATGTTCTTTTTCTTTTTCTTTTTTTGTATTTTCTATTTATTAAAAACAGTTCTAATGTGAATTATGATTATGATTGAGATAAAAATTGATTATTGTTGTTACTTATTGAAGTCCTTGTTTGATTTAATAAATGAAATTTATTTTATAATTACAATGAGATAATTATCAAGATTATTACAAAGTAAATATTGTATGACAAAACGAATGATAGATTAAAAAAAATGAATAAGTTTAAAATTTCATAAACATGAAATGGAATATAAATTGATTAATATGTTACAAAAAAAAACATTCAAATTCAATTTCTGAAATCAATAATAGAAAAGAAAATATTCGAGACGACAAACTATGTAATTAATTTTGTTTTTCTTTCTATGTAATATTAGTCGACCATTAAGACATGTCTATCTAAACGAATGAAAAATATATATGTATTCTATTGTGTGAAATAGAAAACAAAATTCTGTTTATTTTATTATTTATATATAATATTGATTATTGTCATTTAGATAAATCTGTATATTATTTTGTTTTTAATTTTTTATATTAAAAGCTTCAATTATGCCAATTGCTTATGAAAAGATCAGCAAACGTGAACATGTTCCTCAAGGTGAAGACGGAATTAGCAAAAAACTAATTACTACAGATGACTGTGGACCATGTGTCTTCTTTTTGGTAGACTGTGTATTTCAAGGAAAAAAAATCTGCTATCTTAAACATTATGATTTTAAAGAAATTGATGATTCAAATATGTCACAATTAGAATGTTTCATGGCTTTTTTATCTATCATTTCTACTGATTTAAAACATCATATTGATATAAAATCAATAAGACCTCATGATTTAGATGGAAAAACAGGTCATCACGATTGCCGATTAACTATTGGAGGTGGTGATGCACACACTCAATTTTAATAAAAAGTTCTTTTTCTCTTTTTTTAAATCCAACTACACATTATATGTTACCTAATGAACTATTTAATGATCCTGATATATTCTATCTTTATCAACAATTCATATACAAAACAATAATCTTTGAATCTGTCAGTAAAGTATTGCCTGATTATGAAGAAGATCAAAGTTAGTTTTTAGTAAATATTGATTTAAAATAAACATAAATGAAATTGAATTTTAGGTGTTCTTAAAAATGATGGACTTGATTATCCAAGTTTATCAATGAAATATAGATGTACAACAAATCGGTTAACTATGAAAATTGATTGGGTATCAACGTCAGGCAGTTTTTCATTGGCAACAATGAAAGTGAAATTACACTCACAACCACCACCAACAACAACATACTATTATTGGGAAAAAAATGTACAAGAAATTCATAAATTTCAACAGAAAGCAAAACCTGATGAAAATGAACGATTAAGTGATGCCTTATCATTAATTCCAAACAATGGTTTATTTATTAAGTTAGTTATTTCTTATATTCTATCTTAGAAAATAAATGAAATTTTTTAATTATCTAATTAATAGTATTAAAATTGGAATTAATGGATTTGATCTTCTTGGTCAACATATATTTCGATGTGCACTTGAAAAAGGTATTCAAGTAGTCGCTATCAATGGTTAGGATTAGATTTTATTTATTTATATGTTTTATTAAATATATTCTTCTTTTTAGATAAATCTATTCCTCTTGATTATATGATTTATATGTCCAAATATAATTCAACACATGGCAAATTTAAAGGTACAATTTCAAATTATTTTAATGGCACACTTATTGCTAATGGACAAGTAATCAATGTCTTTATGGAGTAAATATTTTAAATAAATAACTTTCAATATTTGATTTGATTTGATTTGATTTGATTTGATTTGATTTGATTTGATTTGATTTTTAGAAAAGAAGCATCAAAAATTCCATGGAATCAATTTGGTATACATTTTTTTTTCTTGATTTTTTTTATTGATAAGGAACTAATTGTTTTTTTTTAAAGATGCTGAATATGTTATTGAAACAACCGATGAATCTACAACAATTGATAAATGTCAACAACATTTACAAGCTGGTGTTAAAAAAGTTATCATTACAAGATCATCATCTGATGTTCCAATGTTTGTTATGGGTGTCAATCAAGATAAATATACAGGAAAAGAAAGAATTCTTTCAAGTGCATCATCTACAACAAATAGTTTAGCACCACTTGTTAAAGTTGTTCATGAAAAATTTGGTATTATTGAAGGTTTAATGACAATTATACATTCATATACTCCTATACAAAACATTATTGATGGACCATCAGATAAAGTATTTAAATGAAATAAGAAAAAAAAACAAATCTTTGTATTTCTATTTTACTTTAATAGGGTTTGCGATGTGGACGTGGAGCTGCACAAAATATTATTCCACTAAAAACTGATGTTGCTAAAGATGTATGTTTATTTATTTATAATAAATAAGAAAATTGATTTGCATTTAATTAGATTGGAAAAATTATTCCTGATTTAAATGAAAAATTAACTGGTATAGTTTTGCATGTTCCAACACCAAGTGTTTCAGTTATTGATCTTAGTATTAGATTAAATACACATGTAAATCATATATTTATTAATATATTCTTCAAATTTCTTTATTTATTTATTAGGCTAAATATGAGGAAATCCGTAATACAATAAAAGAAGCTGCTAGTGGTCCATTAAGAAATATTTTAGCTTATACTAAGGATAAAGTTGTTTCAACAGATTTTATTGGTGATACACATTCATCAATTTTTAATGCTAAACCTGGTATTTCACTCAATGATAATTTTGTCAAACTTATTGCATGGTATATTTTTATTGATTTATTATATTTCTTAATGAAATATAATAATTTATCTATTTAGGTATGACAATGAATATGGCTATGCACATTGTATTGTTGATCTCATCAAATATATTGCTAGGAAGGATCGTGAATATCAAGCTTAAACAATGATTGAAATATATGACAAACATAAACTAATTAGTCTTATCGAATATAACTTCTTTTCTTGTTGTTTTTATTTGAATCAACATTTCATTTAACAAACAAAAAACCTTTTTTATTCAATAGCTTTTAGTGTTAGTTTGTATTATCATTTTTCATTCAACTGTAAGAAGAAATAAAAGAGTCAAACTTTTTTCTTTAAAATATATTTAGATGTATGTTTAAATTCAATCAATAATCTTTATTAGGAAATATTTTATTTGATTTTTCAATATCATTTCAGTAGAAATAACAAATAAATGATTCGTGAAAATAATTCTATTTATTTATACATTAGAATAACTTTACAAAAAAAAAGTTTATTCATAAAACACTACACGTATATGAACTAAAACATCGCCAAGATTCATTACAATGTTTATCTTTTGAGCAAGTTATTTTATCATTTGATTTTGTTGTATAATACCATTGAGGACCAGTTACAGAAGGAAAAGCACCAGGACATTCTACCCAACAATAACCTTTATGACATCCAAACCATTCTCTACAAGTTATTGTATCATTTCGATTTTCTAATGGAATATGTTTACGACTTTTTTCAAGTACAGAATCTATTTGTTCAGTAGTTTAATTATTGGATTTAAATAATATATCATTTATCAATTGATGTATTTGTTTTTCTATTTTATTAATTAGAATAGTTAGTCTGCGAAGTTGAGGTGGATCTTGAAGACAACCATTGATAGAATTTTAAGGAACCTTTAACAAAAATTAACTTTTCCTTTTAATATATATTAAAAAAAACAAACAGATGGCTTACTCGAAGTTGATTCTTATCAAGAACTTTTTCATAAAATTCTTTAATATTTTTTTCTTTATACGACATTAATTGGCAAATGTGATGTTGTCATTAAAGAAAGATTTGATCGAATAAGATTATTTATCTAGAAAAAAGTATTTATTTAATAATAATATCATTGCACTAACATGTTTAACATCAATTTTTGCAATTCCACCAATTAATATTATTTGTCGAATATCTAATAAAATATTCATTGATCGAATAAAAATTGATTGATAATGATCAAAATAAGAAAGTTCTTCTCTATAACTGCATTTATTGATTATCTATAATAAAAAAAAAGATAAATATAAAATTTTTATTTTTACTTGCTCAGACAAAATAAGACATGGTGTATCATAAAGTCATTTATCTTTTTTTATATCCATCAAGAATTAAAATCTCGGATATTCTTTTGTTGATAATTAATATAATTTATGTGTCACTTTATTCAAATGATCGATCTTTACTAAAAGCATTTTCAACAGATAAATATCTATATAATAGAACACTTTTTCTTATATTCAATATCAGATTTAAATCCACGACATCATTTTATGGTTGATTGAATATTTAATAATATATTGTTCATTTAAAGAAATAAAGTATATCTACCAAAATTAGTTGTTTCATTTTCAATTGAATTTGTATTTTCATCACGGATATCGTCATTTTCTTCTCATTTTTTTAAACGTTCTTCACACATAAATTATTTTTTTGTCAGCTCTTAATTGAATTGGAAAACGAAGAACATTCATTTTTATACACAAAATAATACAATAAAAATAGAAAGTTTATTAATAAACATTTTACCAGGAAGATTTTATAAAGTTGCACGTTGAATACAATCAAGTGCATCAATATGACAAAGATCACAATCAATAAGACTATTAAATAAACTACTTTTTCCAACATTTGTACCACTAAGACGACAAAACACCACCTATATATGTTAAAGTAGAAATGCAAGAAAAAAGTAAAAAATACGAACCGTGTTGTGACCAATAACGAAATACTTTGGAAATAAGTTCTTCAATTTCATATCCAGTTCAAGCACTAATTAAACCATAATATTTAACAATATATTTTCCTAAATCACGTTTTGTACATTTGTTTTCAAGACATTGACGAATATCAGACAGATAAGATTCACTATCTAAAATAAAATTCTTATTAATTTAAATAGATTGTTTATATAACTAGAAAAGTCTTTAAAAAACATACGCTCTATTCTCAATCTCTTCTATTCTTCTCTATATGTTGGAAAATTAAATTCCGAATCCATAACTCCTATCCTTATAAGAAAAACAATTTTTTATTGATTTATTTATTTTCTGTATATATCAAAGATTCTTTATCCTTTATTTCTATAATAATAAACTTATCTTTTGATAATAGATAAACTTTATTACCAAGAACAAAGATAATATTTGGTGAAGTATTTTGATTTTCTATTGTTTGATCAATAAGATGTGTTCATGATCGATTAATTGAATTTGGTATATCAAAAAGATCAACAATTAAAATAATTCAAACACGTTTTCGTTTATTTTCTATTAAAATATCTTTAGAAATTTGTTGATTAATTTGTCAATGTGATATTATTTAAAAAGAAAACATCTTTAACATTGATTTGCTCGTTTTTGTAAATTTGTTCAAAAGTGATATTTAGAATTTCAACCGATAGAAAACATCTTGAATATATTTTAAATAAAAATTTCTATGAAAAAAAATAATTTCTTATAGTTTAGTTCTATCAGCACATTGAAGTAGTGATCAACAAGCAAAACAACTCGTTGTTTCATGAATAAGTATTGTTTTCATCTTCTCTTGCTAAATTTATTTCAAATTGATTTTCAATAGATGGAAAAGTAAACAATTCGAGGATGAGGTAAATCATGTTTATCTTCATTTGTTGATAATATTAGATCATCTTTTCGTATTTATGAAAAAAAAAAGATTTTCTGCTCAACTTATTCTTGTTAAATGTTGTCGAACAAAATATTTTTCATTTTCAGATAATTGACTACAAAAATTAATAGAATATAATGGATCTTTAGATAGAATTTTATGAACAAGAGATAAAAGATTATCTAATGAAATAAGTTTTCTTTCAGTAATAATATGTTTTTCATTATTAAATTATGATTGAGACGAACGATAACGGCTTTATCGAAAAGGATTAACATTAATTCCAAAAGATGATAAACGATGCAAAAATGATATTCTACGCAAATTTAATATTACTATGAAAAAATTTTCAAATAGCAGATGAGTCATTCAATGTGAATTAATGCTTCAAATGGTTAACCCATTAAAAATACTGATATATAAAAGAAAGCTTAAATTTAATTTTTTAATATATATATATAATTAATAAAATAATGCTTTAAAGTCTAATAGAAATAGAAATAGAAATTACATATATGGAAAAATTCGATGAAAAGAGGTCGCTCAATGTATTGGGAATCACGTACGATGGTTCAGATTTAGAAGGAATGCAATGAAAATATTGAATTTTATTCTAAATCGTATTTAATAAATTAAATCGGGTTAAATAAAACTTCCACCTCTAGCTGGAGGTTCCAAATTACACTTCCGCCCTTGATTGAAAACAAAGTTGGTTTTTTTCTGAATAATTGCCGTATAATTAAACGAAGTTATAACATCAGAAAGGTACTGCGAAAGATACTGAGAAGGTGCTGAGGATGCCAAATCTGCACTTTCCCCCGTTGTGGACAATGTAATAGAGAATATGAGTTAATGCCCGTACTGACAAAATATAATTTATGATTCAATAACAAGAGTTAAACATGAATCGTGATACATCATACAAATAAAAATAAAAATTATGATGCATTTATTTCATACAAAACAATGATTTAGAAAAATTCTTTAGAAAGAATATAATGAAAATATTGATGTTTTTTTTTTAGTGTATTTATTCTGATACACCTAAAGAACCTTACAAAGAGAATACTCTAGCCCAGGTCAATGATTCCGGACAACAGATCCTGCAGGAACCGGCAGGAAAATGCGGGAAAATTCACCGTATCCTGCAGGAAAACACCGGAAGTCGCCGGAACTGGGTGGCAGTATTCCGGCCNAGATCGTGTTTCACAAAAAAAGAACGTGCAGAACTTATGTTCCAATCTAACATCGTCACTAACCTTACTTGTGGATTTTCTTTTATCTGATTTTTTTTCGTCTAATACTCTTTGTACAGTCTAGTTCGATACGCATTCTCTGAATATCGTTGCTGCTATCAGAAATATTTTATCTACATAATTAAGAGTAACGTGAATCAAAAATCGATTCACTGGGCCCTAGACTGACAGAATTCACTCATGTGAACGTTTGAGCAGCGAACTATGGCGACTATTTCTTTGAGAGATCCTGAAAATTCTGAAGGCATAGCCGCATAAGTTTAAGACAGAAGAGGATAGCGCATGGAGATTAAGTAAAAGTGCGGCATAGATGAGACGAAAATAAATAAATGACCAGCACAGTAACTAAAAAAAACGCATCCGAAGTCAACGCCAAAAACAGGTGCGAAGCAGTGCCCAAACCACGATTATCGCTCAAGGAAAGCCCTCAGCATCCTCGCCAATACAATACCCTCTTCACAAATTCCTGCAGAGTGGCAAGCGGTTGAGTCCCTCCCGGCTATAGAACCACGCGTTTTCGAAACTTAGTGATGGAGGGATAGAAGCTCCTTATTGAAACTCCGCCTTGCCCCCTTCATTTGCTCCCTCATTGTATACGACTGCTCCGCTTGCCACTTCAGTGGATCCAGCCATAATATGTGTCACAGAAATGGTCATTTATGCCACGGAAATGGTCATTTGTACCAAGCGCCTGTTACAGACAGACAAACAGACACAGGTGAATTACGGTTTCTAGGCCCTACCCTTTCAGTCTAGGGAATACTCGAATTGGCAGTGTACTTTTAGAAAACTTAGCTAAAAAGATTTGAATTTTCCCTAGAGCTAAAACTAGCCAATGTTATCTAATGTCATGTACTATTTTCATATATCCAATTTAGTTTGTAGAGGTATTTCACCCATCAGATAGAGTTATTTCTGTTGTTTTGCATGGCTCATAAACGTCGGATGAAATTAAGTGCATAACCAAAGACTTCTCTTTCATGCCTGTTAATTTTCTAACTCTATAATAACCTTATCAAAAGACTCTTTCAATTGATAACCTGAAACTTTTTTGTAAGATAAGTCTCTCAACGACATGCACTGCTTTAAAATATGTGCATCGTTATTTGACTGAAAAAAGGATGTTATAAATTGTACAATCGATTTCATCAAATGTTTATAAGCCGTTTTGAAGGATACAGATAACTATAATGGACGAGTCAGAATACTATTTTATGTGACTTTAAATGAAGCATTTCGGTGAAAACTGAAATGCACCACGACCTAGACTGCCAAGAAATGTTGAACTCACAAAAAGAGCTATTGTTTCATGTCGTTTATCTAGTTGTTGGGGTCTCGAGTCTCTCAAACGCTTCTAGGAAAATAAGAACTAAACTGCTTCTCTTGTGAAACACGATCTGAAAGGAGTGTT